GGAAATCCCATGGATAGACAAGCCTGGCGGGCTACAGTCCATGAGGTTGCAACGAGTCAGACATGACTTAGCGACTAAACAACAACACAGTGGAAAGAGGGCAGACCCTGATCCCTGATTGCGTCTCCCCAATCAGCTTGGCCTTTGCTGCAGAGCCAGACCCCCCCCCCCCACCCCTAATCTCACCGGCTGCAGAGCAGTCCCCTGGGATGGAGGGTGTACCAGATGATGGGACTCCTCCTTGGCTGGTGGCTGGGGACTCAGCATCCTGGCCCAGCCACACAGCCAGGCCTGGGGATGAAGGTCAGGAGCAGCGGCTACCCGTCTAGTCCCGAACCAGCCGCTCTTCTTCACCCCCAGGCTCCGCAGGCAACAGATGGACGCAAGTGTGCTGCTCAGTAACGCCTGCCGCGGACGTGTTCCTCTGGTATCCCAAGAAGGCCTGAGCTTGCACCGTGTCTTCCTGCCTGCAGCCTGGGAATCTGGTTCTTGTTGTCATCCTAATTCTTCTACTCCCCATAATGCTTGATGCCAGCCAACCACCCAGTCGAGGTGGTTCCCAGTCAGAAATTAATCATTGTCTAAAACCTAAAACCTAATGAAAACTTCCCGTGCCCACGAAGGCATGGGAATGGGGAAGAGAGGGCTGGGTTGTGGATCTTAGTGAGCTGGTGAGAACCTGCCAGGTACCTCTGAGGACGGGTCCTGAGTGCCTCGTGCCAAGGGGCTCTCGTGTGCCTCTCAGGGTCCAGTTTCCCCACTCCCCCTTCCCCTCCCCGGCCGTGATCCTTCTGTCTCAAAGTGTGTCCTGTCACCCTGGGTGAGTTCATTGCGTTGTGTCACATGGCTGGCTGCTGTCCTGCACATCAGGGTTTATATTAGCACATTGTCTACATCAGGTTGGGCTGCCATACTGAAACACTATAGACTGGGTGGCTTCAACAACAGGCATTTATTTCTCAAGTTCTAGAGGCTGCAAGTCTAAGGTCAAGATTCCAGCAGGGTCAGTTCCTCCTGACAGCTTGCTTGCTGGCTTGAGGGTAGGAGAAGGAGCCTTCTCTAAGGGTATTAATTATGTCAGATCAGACCCCAACCTTATAACCTCTTTTAGCTTTAATTACCTTTTAAAGATCATATCTCTAAATGCAATCACATTGAGGATTAAGGCTTTAAGAAATGAATTTGGGGGGGCGCATATTTCAGTCCACAGCACACATCTTTTTTTTTAATTGAAGTATAGTTGATTTACACTATTGTATTAATTTCTAGTGTACAGCAAAGTGATTCAGTTATATATATTGGGTTGGCCAAAAAGATTCATTCTGGCTTTTTCATACCATCTTATGGAAAGCCCAAATGAATTTTTGGCCAAAACACATACACACACGTATATTCATTTTCAGATTCTTTTCCATTACAGTTTATTATAAGATATTGAATATAGTTCCTTGGTAGGTGTGTGCTAAGTCACTTCAGTAGTGTCTGATTCTTTGGGTCCCTATGGACTGTAGCCCACCAGGCTCCTCTGTCCATGGAATTCTGCAGGCAAGAATACTGGAATGGGGTGCCATGTCCTCCTCCAGGGGATCTTCTCGATTCAACGATTGAACCCACCCGTCTTATGTCTCCTGCGTTGTCAGGCAGTTTCTTTACCAGTCGCACCACCTGGGAAGCCCCTTATTTATCTGTTTTACAGATAGTCATTTGTATTTGCCAATCCCAAACTTCTAATTTATCCCTCCCTGCTTTGGGAGGTGATTAGTTTTCGGTGAGGTCATGAAGGTGGGGCCCCCGTGATGGGATCAGTGTTCTATTCAGAGTGACCAGAGAGCTGATCTCCCTCTCTCTGCCATGTGAGGACATCAGGAGAAGACAGCCCTTTGCAAAGCAGGAAGCAGGCCCCCACTCCAGACCATCATGCTGGCACGCTGGTCTCAAAGCAGGAAGCAGGCCCCCACTCCAGACCATCATGCTGGCACGCTGGTCTCCTCCCCAGCCTCCAGAAATAAATGAGGAATAAATACCACCCACTCGATGGTGTTTTCTTACAGCCATGTGAGCTAAGACACACCTACCTAGACCACTGCTTCTCAGCAGCAAATCCCTGGGAAGACAAGTTTCGTTAGAAGGAACGTGCCCTATGGTTAAGGGCGCAGGGTCCATATGAGACCCACCTGAGATCCCCTCCCTCCTCTATACTCACCAGCCCTGTGAATGAGGGAGGGCCGCTTGCCTTCTGCGATCGGTTTTTTTTTTCATCTGCAAATGAGGACACACAGAAAACACACTCTCGTGGGATTCTCAGAGACAGTAGGTGAGACGGCGCCCACTCGGACCTGCGCTACAGTGGTCACTGGATAAATGTGTCCCTGTTAGCACTAGATTCATGCCATGGACCCATGCCTCTTGCCCATGACTCATCCTTCTTTCCCAGGAAACGGCATTGCCAATTCCTGACATTTTTTAGGTGTCTCTTTTCTATGGACTAGGTCTGGGCTAATAGTTTCTATGATATTTTTAACAGTGAAACCTTTTTCTCCCCACATCACGTTTTTTGTGGAACTCCAATATCTAAAACTGACAGATGTGGAGGTTGTGTTAATTGCGGTTGATGTGAGGCTAGAGACCTTCGTGAACCCCTTCTTGAAGGAACCCAGGGGCCCTCCAAAGAACACCATTTGAGAACCACTGCTCTGGGCTGCCCCACTTCCCTTCTACTCCCAAAGTCTTGTTCCTGGGACAGCTCAGTGTAATTGTCCATGTTTCTTCTTCATAAATAATAATCTCATTCTGGTCTTGCTTCCCGAAGGTAACCTGGCTAGGAGTTTTAGATGTCCCTGGGCTCACCAATCGTACATTTAAGGTCCTTTGACCACTCTCTTAGATGTGCACTTGACTCACAGAAGTTCATTGCCTAGTTCTAGGGGTGCACCTCTGTCGCCCCATGTATTACCAACCATTGTAAACGAAGTCTAATTTGTATTGCTCAATCAGGCTATGCCTATAAATAAACCCACAAACCAGGAAAAAAATTGCTTTGTCATATTCTGTGTCCTGGTTTTGGTTTGGAAAATGGGTCACAAGAGGGAAACAGGGGAGTTTTATACAGAAAAGACAGCACAGAACCTGGGTCTCTGCTCACACCAGCCACAGGGATTCCAGGGCCTCACTTCAGCGAAATCTATTTGGCTTGATTCTCCGTGTTGCTCTTCTGAGGCTTCAACCTCAGCGAGATAAGCTCAATCTTTCTTTTTTAATTCTTGTAACAGCTTTATATTGAGATATAATTCATATAGCACACAACTCACCCATTTAAAGTGTACAATTCAGCGGCTTTTAGTATATTCACAGAGTTGTGCAGCCATCTCCGTGATCAATTTTAGGACATTTTTGTCACATGCCCGCCCCCACCCCAGAAAAAACACTGTATGCATTAGCAGTCACTCTCCTTCCCCCAACCTCCCCTCCACCACCACCAGAACTGGGCAACAATTAATCTGCTTTCTGTCTCTGTGGGCTCACCCGTTCAGGACATTTCATATAAAGGGTGTCTTTTAACATGTGGTCTTTTGTGTCTGGTTTCTTTCACTGAGCATGTTTTCAGGGTTCATCCATGGTGAGGCATACATCAGCACTTTATCCTTTTTTATTTTTTAATAATACTCCATTGTAATGACATACTGCGTTTCTGTTCATCTACTCATCAGTTGATGGATGAGTGTCCCCACTTTTTGGCTGTTATGAATAATGCTGCTTGGAACATTTGCATACAAGTTTCTTTATATTTAGACAGAGTAACTACTTTTTATGATTTATTTTAATTTTTAAAAATTGAAGTACAGTTGATTTATAATACTGTGTTAGTTTCAGGTGTTATAGCACAGCAATTCAGTTATATATATATATATAGTCACTTTCAGATTCTTTTCCCTCAGTACTGTGCTACACAGTAGGTCCTTGTTGGTTGCTATTTTATATAGTAGTGTGTATATGTTAATCCCAATGCCTGAATTTATCCCTCCACCCACCCTCCTGTGTACAAGTTTTGATGTAGAGATTTTCAGTTGTGTAACTTCCTCTACTGAGAGAATGAATGATATCAATGGCTAGATTTATTGTTTTTCATGCACCAAATTCTGCACTGAGCACGTCACACATATTACCCTTGTCATCATCACCGTAGCCCAAAGAATAGGCTCTCTCCCCATTTTACAAGTGAGGAAACTGAGGCCCCATAGCTAACACGGGGCAGGGCTGGGATTCGAACTCAGGTTGACACATATGCTTAATGCATATATACTTAATATTGGTTATAGAAGTTGGGCAGCCGTTGGTACCACGCCACTCCAATCATTCACCCTGATTGAGTCACGGTGATTAAATTTCAGTGGTGTGCCCCTTATATACATTGTCTTACCGAAGTCTCACACCGGCCCTGTGAGGCTGTCTTATTGATACTGTCCCTGCCCAGTGAGGAGAGAATCTCATAGAAACTGCTCACTGGGTGACACGTCTCGTCTCTGTCCGAGCGTGGAGAGCCAGAGGTCAGCGGGACCTCCAGCTGCTCTTTGATACCACAGCTCTCCCTCCCAAACCTGGCCTCCTTCAACCCTGTATCACCTCGAGGACAGTTTCTCACATGCCCACAAGTACCGTTTTCAAAGCCAAGCCACCATCTGCCTTCGTTTGCACAGGTGTGCCTGTGTGTGCTTGTAAACCTGTATCCAAGGGTATCGCCGCGCCCGAACCTGGGGTCCTCGTTCAGGTAGGACCCCTGGTGGCCTACCCTGATATTGCAGGGTCCTTGAAGTGGTTAGTCCCATTAGCGTTCATGCTACACCACACTACAAGCGTAGACGCATAGCAGGTAGAGGACTTGCTTTTGGACAGTTCTGAGGATGGCAGGGTGGAGGTGGAAGGTGGCAGTGGGAGGGAGACTGGAGCAGAGGAGGGTAACGGTAGAGGGTACCAACTGTGTCCATGTGGTTGCCTGCCCACAGCCGCTATCTTGGATGACCCCATGGAGTGCAGCAGAGGGGAGCGGCTGTCCATCACCCTGGCCAAGAACCGCATCAACCGCGCTCCCGAGAGGCTGGGCAAGGCCAAGGTCGAAGTGGACATCTTTGAGCTTCTCAGAGACAGCGAGTACGAGACTGCAGAAACCAGTACGTAGAATGGGCAGGGCTGCCCTCTGCTTCCCCTGCTGGCAGAGGAGGGGCTGGTGGTGTGAGCCGCACCCATCGACAGACCTATGATGCAGGGATTCCCGAGAGAGGGAGAGAAACGTGCACCAGGAGGCCCTGTAGGGCTTAGTCTAAACAAGCTCCCAGGCTTTGTTGTAAATCATATGTAAGGTAGAGTTGAGAGAGGAAATTTATTCATTCCTTCATCTTACCCACTCATTCATTCTTTCATGTATTGATTCATTCATCTCCTGGACATTTTGTGCACAGATCCCTAAATGAAACCTTGTGTGGGATTAAGAAAGGAGAGATCTGGCCAGCCCCAGGGAAGCAGAGTTGTGACACATCTGTTTCCTTCCTGTCTTGATTTCTTGTGCCGAAGGCAGTGCTGTAGGAAGGAGCTGAGACTTGGGCTGGAGTTCAGCCACTCACTCTTGAGGATAACCTTGGATAAGTCAGTGATTCTGTTAAGCCTCAGTTTCTTCATCTATAAAATGGGAATGCTAAGCTCTACTTTGAAGTCATTGTGAGATTTAAATGACTTACAAAATAGGAAATTTCTCTGTGAGTTGCAGTGCTTTACAGATGTACATAGTAGATCCCTCCAGTCACACTTATGGAGCCCCTCCTATGTTCTGGGCACTGCTTTTAATTCTTCCAGCAGCCAGAGAGTTAAGTGTTATTATTCCAACTTTACCAAGAAACTGAGGCTCAAAGACTTTGGGTAACTTGCTCAATGCCAGAGCTAGTCAGATGCAAGTCCTAGACCCTGAACTTGCATCATAACCTTGCCAGTCCAGTGTCTCACCTATTCCACCTCCTCTGCACTTCTCTGGTGTGTTGCTGGTATGATCTAGACAGCTTAACAGGATGAGCTTCCGGGTTAGTGGGGTGATGGCTTGTAACTTAGCTGTAGATGAACAGCTCCAGTTCAGAGGGAAGGAGGGGAGCCCCTCAGCCCAGAGAAATGATAGCCTTTGTTCCCTAAGACTCTGAAGTCCCATCTCGTCCTTTCCCATCCATGTGACAGTCTTCAGTGACAGTCAATGGCAAAACAAAACCAAGCCAAAGAACAAGTCGCTTACATGGGTATGTCAGACATGTGGTCTTCTGCATGTGGGCCCCATGATGCTCTAATCTGAACTATTACTATTGCAAGAGAAGAAACGTATTCACAGTGGCTTAAGTACAAGCAGTAGGATACTGTATGGATCCAAAGAGGGCAGGAAGGGAGGAAGGCAGTGGCTCTCTGTATCATAGCTTCTTTAATGCTCCTGCTGTATCAGCTCCATGCTCTGCTCCTTCTGCCACTTTCATTTCCCTGGCTTATTCATCATGTCCCGTGATGGCCGTCCAGTTTACAGTTTGTTTATTTGGGAAAATTTTACTGAGCGTTAGCTCTGTTTCAGGCCTGACGCGGGATATCATGTGTTGGGAGCAACAAGACAGATAAGGTCCCTGCCCTTGGGTGGCTTACAGTCTGTCTTCAGGGTGCAGCTCCCCCCAGTGTCTCTTGGTTTGGAGCTCCAAGGTAGAGGGTCTTGTTGGTCCAGTTTCTGGACCAATTAAAATTGGCTGGTCTCACAAGCCACAGACATTGGCCAGCTGACCGGAGAGCTACTTTTGGGGAGAGAGTCCACTCCTAAAAACTGAGGGTGGATTCCTATCATATGAAGCAGTTGTTGAGGCCAGCGGGATGTGTGGACACAGATTCCTCCAGAAGGAAGCTTGGGGGAACAAGTACTTGGAATCGTCATTCGTTTATTCACTTGGTCAGTCAATAAATATTTAGAGGGTGCCTGCTGTACTCTATCCTAGACAGTGGGGGTTCAGTAAGGCACAGATGGAAATCCCAGTTATCCCAGAGGTTAAACTCTAGTAAATTCAGATTTCTCAGGATCTTCCAAAGGAAAGCAGAAATACCAGCAATGACTGCCTGTGAAACTCCTGGTCCTGTCTATACTTTGGTATGTTTTTTGTCCAGGAGGGCAGGTCTCAGACAAGAATCCAGATTTCTAGATAGTTCTCAGAGTCTGTTCTTTTGGAAAAAAACAGCTCCCCCTTCTTCTTTGGTTCTTCAGGGTTTCCCCTGCAGAACAGAAAGCATGGATTGCCGTCTGAGGATGGGGGTCATTAGCAGATGTAAATTTCTTCTCCCAATGACCCGGGCTTAGCAGAGTCAATACATCTAAAATATTAAACCAGAGGAATAAAGGAAACATATCTTTAATCCATGATACAGAGCTTTGGAGCATCTTTCTAAGGCCCTTCTTTTAGGCACCAAGTATTTTACTAACAAGTGGCCCTTGGTTCAGCTTTTACATCTCACTGTCTTTGAGGCATGATTAGCATTTGTTAGAAAAGAGGGCTTTTGGATCTTTCTACCCCAAAGGCTTTTCATCTAAAGCCAAAGCTGCTCCCCCACAATGGATTTTAAATACCACCCAGATAGTTCATAGAAAGCTTCCAGCCCCACTTTCCCCTCCCTCAATAAGGGGTAGAGAGGGTGGTGGGTTAGCACTTCTGGCTGAAGCATGGTGGGGTGGGACCGGTGGTCAGTGGTGGGGTGGAGGAAGGAGTTTGGAAGGAGACAGGATCCCAGGATGAAGGTGGAACAACAGCTCTGCTATCCCTGCTTGGAGAGACTGTGGGACAGAGTAGGAGGATCAGATTTACCTGGCTCTGTTACCCGTGAGCTGTGTGACAGTGGACAGGCTGTTTAACCATTTCATGCCTGGGTGATAACACCTCCTAGGGTCATTAGGAGCACAACAGGAGACAGTGCAGGTGAGTTCATCAGCACCTACACATACCAAGTAGTTAGGAAGTGGCAGCTTTGGATTTTGCTTTTGGGTTATTCTCTCCACTGGCTTATCTGGTGGCTCAGACGGTAAAGAATCTGCCCACAATGTGTGAGACCCTGGTTCGATCCCTCGGTTGAGAAGATCCCCCGGAGAAGGAAATGGCTACCCACTCCAGTATTCTTGCCTGGAGGATCCCATGGACAGAGGAGCCTGGCAGGCTACAGTCCAGGGGAGTCACCAAATTGAACACAACTGAGCAGCTAACACTTTCACTATCCTGTCCACACATCCCTTGTGCCCCCGCCCCCTGGGATCTGGCTTCCTCTACCTCTTACCATCACCCCTCTGTCCTCTGTCTCAGAGTTCAGCCATCCCCTCCCAGGCAGCCCAGTCTACCTACCAGCCTCCTCTCACACGGCCTGTCTTAATGTCAGGTGCCTCCTGGGGCCTCGATCATAACTGAATATTCCACTCTCTTTCCCTTTTTCTGGGTTGATGCCTCTGACAGTTCTGAGCCTTTGGAAGTCAGGGTATGCTGCCCGGAGCCAGCCACTGCTCAGTCTTGTGGTGGTGGTGTCTTCCCTGGGCTAGTGGCTGATTTGCCTTGCTAACTTAAATCCATTTGAGTGGCTCTGGGGCCCTGACCAATGCCCCCAGCCTCACATGTGTCACCCTGTGCCTGGGGACTGCAGTTCAAGGAGATGAAAGAGATCCTAGTGATGACATTCTTGGTTGTAGAAAGCAGAGGCTCTGGGTTAAGTGAAGATGGTAGCACTCCTACACGGTATCCATGTGCCTGCTCTTGGCCGTAGGCAAGTTTCAAAAACTGTACAAATAATGAGTCACACTTGGGGCAGGTGTGTCATTCAAGAGAAGCAATGGCAATTTCAGAACCAAAGATGATGAAGTGTAACACTAAAGATGCTGGGGTCTGGAGTTCAGCCTTACTTGGTGGTTGAAAGGGAGACTGGGAGACGGAAAGTATCATATGGGGTGTTAATCAGTAACAACCTGGGTTCCCTGGAGAAGAGAATGGATGCTAACTCCAGTATTCTTGCCTGGAGAATTCCACGGAGAGAAGAGCCTGGTGGGCTACAGTCCATGGGATCACAGAGTCGGACACAACCGAATGACTAAGACTTTCACACACTTGGACACTGGAAAGATACAAGTAGCAAACCACCTCGCTTCTATCTGGTTCACATAGATTTTCATACAGTGAGTTTATCTAAAGTGAAGGTCACCTATAAAGCTCCCTCAGACCCACGTCTGATCCCCTCCACCTCTCTGCCTGCTCACCATCATCGCCTCGGGCTTCTTGATGTTTGATTTCCTGGCTCCCTCTGCATGGCCCACAGATCTGAAATAAGAGGGCTGGACGAGACCTATTAGGTTACCTCCCCGCCCGCCTGTCCCTTCCCTCCTTCCTCCCGTATCTTATCTCCATCTCGGCCTTTCGTGTGCAGGCAGCTCCCACAGGCCTTGCCCTCCTCTGTTCCTATAGATCCCTGTGTCTCCTGTGGCGAACATATTAGAGCTTAACTAAGCGCCACCCCCTTATCACCCAGACACCCGGAGGCGCCGTGCCTGCTACTGTCAGAGCCAGTTTGAGGCTTAATTTACTGCAGAGCTGAAAGCAGGAGCCTTCCTGTCGGTCCCTCGCCTCTGCCGGGGTCTGTCCCTCTGAGGCCAAGCATGCCATCAGCTGTCCACGCCGTTTCCCCTGGAAACCCAGAGGTGCCTGGTTCTCAGGCCCCGTGACGCCCCAGTGATGGGCAGAGAGCGTGAGGTTCCGGCTGCCTGGCTGCCCCTCCTGCACAGGCTTCTGAGCTTCTCAAAGGCTCCGCGGGCACGACCTCCAGCGATCCAGAGCTGTTTCTAGTAAGTGAGGGCTGAGGCCGAGCAGGGCCCTGTGGGGCTCCTGGGCACAGAGGCCTTTCTGCCCCTCATTTCTTGTAGGCAAGACTCCAGCCTCCATGACCTCTGAATTCCAAAGAGCACAACAGTTGCTCATCAGGAGAGGAGCAGGCAGGAAACCACCTGTTGTTCAGTTGCTACGTCGTGTCTGACTCTTTGCAACCCCTTGGAAAAGACCCTGATGCTGGGAAAGATTGAAGGCAGCGGGAGAGGGGATGATAGAGGAAGAGATGGTTGGATGGCATCACTGGTTCAATGGAC